TCCAATCTCTTCTTAAAACCTTCCAGTGTTGGAGCATTCACAACTTCTGGAGGCAAGTTGTTCCAATGATTTATTTTTCTAACTGTCAGGAAATTCCTCCTTAGTTCTAGATTGTTTCTCTCCTTGAAGTTCTGTCGGACCAAACTCAGAACCTTGCCCAGAAGCTTCTTCCTTGCTTCCAAACAGATTTAGCTCTTTGGAAGTTTCCAAGTATAGGGCAGAAGAATGCGAGAGGGCTTTCCGGCTGACAATTTTCAGTGGCTTAGAAGGATTCTGTCTCTAATCCTGAGGAACGTCGTATGTAGTTGGACAATAGCGTAATCTCTCCTGAATTTGTTTCATCCCTTCTTAAAGACACTTAAAAGCTGGAAGAAAAGCGGTGATGATTTAAGCTGCCGGAGTTTTTTATTCGCAGAAAAGGGATGGTTCTCCCAACATCCCTGCAGCGAGGATTTCCCCTTAATTGACGTTTAATTGTGCACTGTATCATACTGTGTTTTTTGTAAGGAATCCAATCCAGCAAAACTCTCATTATATCACTTACTGTTTTCCTTAACCTCCTTGGCTCTCTACCTGTTAACTCTTTATCCCAAATAGAGACTTCAGTGAACCCTCCCTAAATTATACAGGTAATCCTCCACTTACAACAGTTCGTTTAGTGGCCGTTGGAAGTTAGCACGGCACTGACAAAAAGTGGCTTATGGCCATTTTTTCACACGTACGAGTGTTGCAGCATCCCCAAATTCATCGTCACCGTAGGCTTTGTTGTGGTCCACTGGCAGCCTGCGGAGACGGCAGCAGAGTCGGCCAGTGGGGAGGAACATGGGCCAGTCCGGGGGTCTGGGGAGGACTCGAACAAGGGTCCTGCATCCGACACAGAGATGGCGTCAGGGCCACCTGGGAGTTATGTGCTGACTCCGGAGCCTCCAGAATCTGACATCAGTGAGGCAGAGGAACAGAGGGAGCCTGTTCCCAGTGTGCGCTTGCGCAGAGCTGCCAGAAGGCAAGAACAGTTAAGGGGTAAGGCTTGGAGATGATTGGCCCCTCCCATAAGACATAAAGGAAGTGCAAAGGGACAGGAGCCTTTGCAGGAAGCAACTTTGTTCGTTCTGGTCAGTTTGAAACCTGAAGCTCCGTGTTAACTTTGTGCTCCGTTTGGCCTTTTATAACTAATTGGGAATTTAGTCCTTGGTAGCATTTCAAGGAAGATAAAGGTGTGTGCTTATCAGAGTTATCCCGAAGGCCTTTGGCAGACTTTTATGGGACTATTTACAAACTGTTTGAGACTCATTACAGGCTGTGAATGACAATAATTCACAGCCATTGAAAAGAAAAAAGGGTTTTGGGACTTACGTGTATATTTGTTTGTGTCTCAATAAACCTTGGTCAGAACAGGCTCTTTTAAGAAGAGACTGTGGACAGTCACTTGTCTAAAATGGTCTAGGGCAGTGGTCACCAACCAATGGGCCGGGGACCACTGGTGATCCATGAGAAAATTTTAGTGGTCCGCAGAGAAATGTCACCCCCAAAGCAATTAATCCAGGCTGCGCGGGAACACAGGGCTGCGCCACCCACATGGCCCACGGGAACACAAGGCTTGTGTCGCTTGCAATCCGGGTCCTCCTTTTACCGACCTCGGAAGGATGGAAGGCTGAGTCAATTTTCAGTCAGTCCGGGTCAAACTGCTGGCAGTCGGCAGAGTAAGCCTGCAATACTGCATTCTTACCTCTGGTTGAAATTTCTGAATGAAATTCTGCTTTCAGTTGTGAATTGTTCAAGAAGGAAGGCTACCTGTAAAGGGGGAGGGGGGGGGAGAAAAGGCCATGAATGAAATGCCGGTTTCTCTTCTCTCCTCCTCCAGCAATCTCCGCTGCTCAACGTCCTGGGCCAGACCAGCTCCCTTCCCTGGCATCACATCAACATTGTGTCCTATCGGAGCATCCTGGGTTACTTCAATAGCCACTACCCTCCCTCCATCCTGCTGGCCAAGGAACCGGCGGCTGAACTGGTGGTGAAACTCTTGAAGGTGTCTGCCGGCTTCAGCACCGCTTTGGACAGCAGCGGGCATGTTGTACGCAGGTTTTCTTTCTTTCTTTCTTTCTTTCTTTCTTTCTTTCTTTCTTTCTTTCTTTCTTTCTTTCTTTCTTTCTTTCTTTCTTTCTTTCTTTCCTTCCTTCCTTCCTTCCTTCCTTCCTTCCTT